TCGTTTTGGGAATTTTGTCTTCGGGAATTTTTTTTCGGGAATTTTGTTCTGGGAATTTTTTTTTGGGAATTTTTTTCGGGAATTTTGTCTTCGGGAATTTCGTTTCGGGAATTTTTTTTTTGGAATTTTTTTCGGGAATTTTGTTTTGGGGATTTTGTGGATCGGGAATTTTTTTTTGGGAATTTTGCCCTGGAATCCTTATTTATCTTTTGATGTAACCGCATATTCTTGGTTCTTTTTGCTGCATTTCGTACTTATATTCGCATCCGGAATTTAATTAATCTATTTCACCTCCCTTACCTCAATCTCCGATTCGACTAATACAAATGCGAACGAATAAATGCCAAATTTCCCCTAAAAACCAGTTCAAAAACTCAAGCCAACGAAACAATTTATTTTTTACTCAATGCTTTTCAACCAATGCAAATACCATCATCAGATGCATTTCAGGAGATTCCCTCCATTGTTCAACAATTAGTAGTCAATTCAATTGATATTGAGTCTTAAAATAAGATATTTCTTTTTTCAACTGAAGTATTAGTTCTTTCTTTCTTTCCTCACTGGGAAATGCATTTTTAAACAAAATTTTGAGCTCAAGATTAGAACAGAATTAATTATGTACAGTCATTTCCATTAATATCTGTTACGAAGAAATGTCAAAGCAAACAAGACGAAACATACCCTTGGTGGTTATGTATCAATGGAGACGAACAAACGAATTTTCATTACAGATGTCGCTACATCAAGTGAAAAAGTCATTGAATTTGGAAGGAAAAGTGGAGCGCTTTGGCTCAAAAAGGCCTACTTTTTATTCCAAAATGTTCATTCCAAAAACGCACTATGTCGGAAGATATGCGGTAGTTTACGTCGAACTATTCAGTGAATGACTCCCGGGCGTGTTCGGATTCTATCAATTTGGGATAAAAAGTCTCTGAAACTGCTTTGGGCGAAAAATTCATTGACTTTGAGAGAAAAAGTGGAGGCTTTGGCACAAAAAGACCTACTTGATCGCGTTGCTTCTTAGCCGCGGAATCACTGTCAAGTTGTGCTTAGAATTTGGTCGAAGAAGAAATGTTTTTTGAATCCAAAAACATTTCTCAATATTTTTTTTTTTCATAGCTTAGCGACATCTGTGATTTTCAATATTCAAACCGTCTCTATATTCTCAGGAGTGCGTCCCGAAATATGTCAAATGAGTTTGACATCACAGATATTAATGGAAATGAGTATACTATATATGTTTTGATTTGATCAAAATGTGTTGTAGTCCGTTTTTTTTTGGTTTTGTTTTGTTTTGTAGTTACACTTTGAAATATAATATACATCCTTGAATATACAATTTATTATATGCATATAATATGTTATTTACACGAAATCTTATGATATAACTGCTATTTGAATGTTATCTTGTATTTTATTATTAAAAATAAAATTGTTAATTTCTTTTTAATCTTCGCGCAGTAAAATTGGAATGTCGTTCAAATATTTAGTTGATAATAATAATTCGAAAGAGAAAGAAAACGAAAAAAAAAACAATTTTTTTGTCGTTGAAATTCAGAGCGACTAGAATCTGAATGTTTTTACCTATTGGAGTTGATAAAAATATGTTTGCGATCCCGATACCAGCCAGTTGCACATCATTTTGAATTGGTATGAATGCGTGATCGCAAAATATTCTAAAGAGTAACATCTTACATCTCCATACAAAAGTATACGTGTTTTCTATGGAGAGGTTACATATCAAAATATTTCGAATCTAAGTTGAATTTTTGTGCTCACGCATTCATATGAACATGACTTATTCAGTTGGGATAAAATGTTCGTTCAGAAAAATGATATTTGTGTTTATTTTTCTCTACATTCTGCCGGCTGTATAATTACGGAAATTCCACTGAAAAACAAGGGATTTGTCTTATCAGCAACATAACATGAATTGTGTATGGAATTCCATCACATATTCCAAACAGTCCGAGAAACAGATATTCGCTCACATTTCACAAATATCTAACATTTCAATAGTTTCAATAGAAATGTTGCTCAGAAAATCTATATTGATATTAAATCGTTGCTTCATTGACATATCCGATGATGTTATCTTCACATTTCAGTTAACAGCTTGTTACGTTCCAATGAATTTCTCATCCAGAACACATACACACAGTATCAATTTGATAGAGCACTTAGATAGCAACAAATACAGTGGAAACAATTTAACACATACAGCATATTTGTCGATCAGTTTATTTAATCGCACAACAAAACACATACTAGTAATCACTTTATTGAACATCCCAGAAAATATGGCTAGTGTGTGTTTGTTCGGATGAAGTCATTTTCTTAATTTTTCCAAATGGAACCAATTTGTTCAACAAATATACGTCTCGTTTTTTCAAATGAAGCTCTGAAAATATGGATTACGGAGCAGATAACTTGTATGGAAAGGGTGGAGTGGAATTCAAAAGGTGGAATCAATCTTTAAAAACCACGCATTGAGCAAGGTAATATTCGGTAAATCTTCTTCTTCTTAGAGCTTAATAGCAATGATGTGGGTTGAGTTATGGACAGCCAACCAAACGCAATAGATGGTCAGCTACGGCTGACGCTCGTTATCCAGATAATTTGCGTGCGGTGAACTATTGTATAAGCGAATGAAAATATACCATACAATAGCAAATGTGAACGAAACAAGTCTTAATGTATTTTCAATTTTGACATGAATTGTCTATGTTGCCTCCATGGCTGCTTTAAATTATAGTGGTTTTTGGGTCAATGGCTCTATATTTTTCATTTTTGTTTACATAAAAAACATTCAGTTACGGAGAAAGTAATTACAAACACATTTGCCATATATGGGAGATTTGGTAAAAGACATCTCATACTTTGCCAATAAAAATAGAATTGTCCAGAAACATGTCCGTCTAACCTTGAATCTATCATAAATGTTAGTTAAAAGTGATGTAGCACCTCCATTACGACCAACACATTATTAAAACCTTTGAATACTCGGAATTTCGAAATTTTTTCCTGCATTGGAAGTCACTTCTGACTCGACTTCACCTGCAGGTACAACATAAAGCGATGCATTAACTAATTTTAGCTGCGTATTTTTCGTTCCCAATTACCGAAAGAGTTCTCAAAATCAGCTTAAGTTACAATTAAGTCTTCCTTGGGCGTCCTGGTGATATGCCGTTCCGTTCCCTTATAGTTAGTTTACCACAATAGCAGACTCATGTTTTTAGCTTTGTTCTACGATTAAATAATGATTTGCTTTTATTCAAGAGATTCGAAACTTTCGTTCTGCCAAATTATCAAAATTTCGAGAACGTTCAGGTTTCATTGTGGATATAACCTGTAAAAATGTCTTTTTTTTCCATCAAGTCTTAAAGCTCCAATGGGTTTTTTTTTAACATTCAATAAAATTTTATACATTGCTTCTGTACAGCTGTTCACAATTGTCAATAAAGTTATTGTTATTTTCCGTTTAAACATGAATTCTACCATATTAATGATTACCAAAAATCAAACCAAAAAAAAAGAAAAATGTTCTACCAATAAATTTAATCTTTGTCTATTTGTTAAATAGTCAATGGTTTTGCATCACATAATCGTTATTTTGAACTCTGTCCCATTCAACGCTATACAAACTTAATTCCTATCACCAATTTGTTTTCTTTGTTGTTCTCTTCTTGTTTTTCCATCTCAATCCATTGAGAATTTTAATGAAGTTTTCGATCAAATATGTGTCATAATTTACTTACGTCTAGTCTTTCCGGCTTTCTACACTTATATTAGTTCACCATGCAGCGAGAGTGATTGAGATAGAGAATAGAGAAAAAAAAGAAGAAGAAGAAGCGAACGGCTTTTATTAATTATCAATTCAGCTATCTTTTAATGATCTAGTTGATGGTATATTTTTAATGCCACGTTCCAGTTTGTCGGCATCACCGGCCGAGAATCGATGGTTGAACGGTGGCCGTGGCATTAAATGGTTTCGCTTTTGCAAATCGGTAATTGATGCACGGTTGATGCTATTTTTGCGCACATCATTGCACAGCAACGCACATTTCTCATTGAGCTCATCATAATTGGCCGTATCGTCATCGTTTTTCATAAAATTTACCGAAGGCAACATTTTTTCACCGTATGCACCCAATGAGTTTCGACTATTGCTGCTGCTGGTGCCACCACTACTGCTACTGCTACTGCTGCAGCTGCTGCTACCGTTATGCTTTTCTTTGCGTGAACTTCTGCGCTTGTGACCACTGATGGATGGCATCGGCTGTATTCGTTCGCTCATACATTTCGGTGGTGTGTTCAAGCTACTGTTTGACGATATACTTGTTGCACTGTTTGACCGCGAACAGTCGGGCGGTGCAGGGTTTCGATGCTGTTTTGATTTTATACTACCTTCCCTGACAATGCTATAACTAGCACTTTCATTTTCACTAATTGCCGTTGCATGTACGGTCGTCGTCGTTGTTATTGTTGTTGCTGCTGCTGCTGTTAGATTCTCATTGGAATGCAGTAGACAATCGTCGGATGAAGTGGGCAAAAGTGCATCGGTCGATCGGCAATGGTCAATATTTTTATTATTGCTATTGTGTGGTGAACTCCAAGCAGTTGACGACTGTGATATTGGATTACTCATACCGAATGCAAAACGCTTTTGATTATCCGGCGGACTGATTGCTTCTGGTGAACTTCCATCGGCTTCGGGTATCGAAATTAATGTTTGCGGTTGTAATTCACATTCAATGTGATATGTTGGCTCAATGATACCCAAAATATTCAGCACCAAACGTGGATTTTGTATGATAAACTTTTCAATAGCGGGCAAATCCGTTTTCGTATCCGTTTGTGTTGCAATTGATACACCGATCTTTATCGATTTCACTGTATCTGAATTATCATTGTAATGGCTTTCAGCCAGTGATGAGTCGATAATCAAATCTCGGCTCCATGTTTCAGCCGGCTGTGATGTGCTGCGTGCCAATGCATATGAATCCGTACTCTTGGCAGTGACACGTGTCTCATTCGGTAAATTCGGTATTGAACGGCCCGTTGGGAATCGACCAACGCCCAAATCCACCTGAGATGCAAGCGTCGAATACGTTGTAATTTCTTGTAATGCATGGATAGCATTACGAACCTATTGATAGAAAATGAATGAGAGCGAGAGAGAGAGAGAAATTGTTTGTTAAATGTTCTGCCTATTTTTTTCTTGCTTCTCCCTCCCATTTTTCATGTAATTTCTCGCGGCAATGCCATTTGACTTCCAATAGCGAACAAAATATTATATTTAGATGATAGAGCTATTCCATCATAACTCTATGAATAAACTCTAAACGAATGCTTATTGAATATAGAAGAAAGCAACAGTAAATTCCTCCTTACCTCAACGCTGAGTGCAGCCACGTCCTGGTGCAACGAACTAACTTGATTATCAAGTTGTTCAACAGCTCGCGCTTTATAGCCGGTATCGCCACGTTCGAGATTCAGACCTTCCAATGAATTTGATTCGGTGCCATGATTGGCTGATGACGTCACAGAACGTTGACGTTCGACACGTTCACGTAGTGTTGCCAAAGATTTACCCCTTTTTTATGCGTACAGTGCGGGCGAGCGAGCACAAGACAAATAAACAAACACACAAAAGTAAATTAGATTGATTGCGTTTTTTCTTCTCTTCTCTCTTTTCAGAAAATGTTTGTTGTTGATGTTTTTCTTCTTCGTTTGTATCTATCTAAATAACAAGACGTGTTTACAGCACGTTGCAACTCTTCTCGCTGTGTGTCTTGTTTCGTTTACCATGAAAAAAAAACTTTCTTTATCATTTATTTAATTAGGAAAAAGCGTTCACTTCGAGGAAAATGCAAAAAGACACACACACACACACACAGAGAGAGAGAGAGAGAGAGAGAGAGAGAGAGAGAGAAAGAGAGAGAGAGAAAGAGAGAGAGAGAAAGACAGAGAGTCTGTCTGACTGACTGGATGTTAAGAGAAAAGAGAGTCAAAGAAGAAACAGAAGAAACCGAAGGAATAAATGATGTGGTGTGGTGATTGGTACCTTTGCAAAATTTTTCCATGCCTTGGACTTGGTGAGCCGTGCAATGGTGACCTAATTAAACTTTTGCTGGGTGAAGGTGTATGCTTTGATTCAGCATCTGATTGATTTTCATCATCTTCGCTGATTGACGGCAACACCATCGATGGTCCGATATCGGATTCCGCCTGCAAATTGGATGGGAGAAGCCATATTAGTTGTGGCTGTTATGTGCGTGTATGCTTTTGATTGACACATCAAAATTAACTTCAGTAATTTATATATAACGAAAGAGGAAGAAATCGAATCCACAGCGTCTAAAATGCGCTTCGGCAATTGAGAAAATCGGATTTGGCTGTGCGAGACATGGCACGACACGACACGACACGAGACATGTCACAACCAAAACCGAAGCCGAAGAAACAAGAGAGAGAAAAAAACAAAAAGAGAAAGAGAGAAAAAGTTTACTCACTTCGTTTTCATAGCCCTCACGCATATTGAATGTTAAATCATGTTTGATATCGTTGGCAAATTCTTGTTGATACTCGGGGTACAGCCTCAGAACTTCGACCAAACCGCCTAAGTGTATACATTTTAGATCGCAATATGTAAGTGCCTGCGAAACATACACACATTGAGCAGAGAACCGGGAAATAAAACAAATTGAAAAGGGAAAAAATAAAGACGACGAGGGGGGAAGAAAAAAAAAAAAAGAACAAGTGAAAGAGATGGAGTGGAGCACATAAATAAAGTTGTGCATTGCAAAATCGCCTCACGGAGCACCGTTATGTTATGTCTATTTAATGTGTTGTAACGTCATTAATTTCTGTGATGTGCAGTTCGGTGGAGAACATGAGCGCTTTGGTAGCTGATAAAAAAGAGCCGTATAAAAACCATTCCAACACCAACAACCAACACCACCACCGAGGAAGCTCCTTCGAGAACGAACAAATGAGAAAGAGGGAGAATGACACACATACAGAGAGAGAGAGAGAGAGAGAGAGAGAGAGAGAGAGCCTATAAGGCCAAATATCAACCAATCGAATCGAAAATGTGATGATAAAATCTCGAATACGTTTGCTACGAACAAACGACGAACTTGTCCTCGATACTTCACACTCTTAAATTAATGACGCCTCATCGCAATGTTATCAGTATTCATCGGACGACTGTTGATTTTGCTATGAAATTCGTTGTGCTATTAAGTGGTTTTCATTCCCTGTTGAAATTTACCGTCGTCTCGTTCTGCTATGCTTCTCTTCGGTGTGTGTGTCTCTCTGTTTATTGCATTGTGCTTGTTCACCGGATCGATTCCGTGTGTTTCCAATGAAAATGCTTGGCTCTCTTATTGAAAACACAATACAAACAATACGATATAAGTCTTTGGAATTCACATCAACACTCTGAATACACAATAATGTAGCTAATTGTGCAGCCATTTATCGTTCGTTTATGTGAGAATTTTTAGTTATTAAAAAACAGAAAAAATTGAAGACAAAGAAATGCGAAACGATAACGAGAATTTTCGAAATGCTCTACCTACTCAGAACAAAATGCACATTGAATGCTGAAATTGTTAAATGACTTTTTATGAGACTATTGAGTCGGCTCTAGACTGCTCTCGTTTCCGAACAATTAATTCAAACAGCCCACAGAGAATAAACATGCTGTGTGTGAGTAAGCACATCGTTCCATTTATATTGATGGCGCTCCGTGAGCGGAATCCTTGCTGTGTCCACAACAAATTCTTGTGGGCCAATGATTTTTCCACGAAGACCCACACAAAATACATTACCTTAACATCACTGCTGCTCTTCACAATTACATGATCCTGTGAACCACCTGCTCCATGCCGTCCCTCACCACCTTGTCCATTCGAACAGGTCACCAAATGCTGTGATATATCACAACCCACCAAATCGCCTTTACCTACACAAGTTTCAAATACCCTCGTGAATTTTTGAGTTCAAGTTATAAAAATGCGATTTAGTTTTAACGAACAATAACCAATTATGCGACACAATCAAATGCGCTGAATGGATAGTTATAAGCTCTCTGGCTGCTGCTGTTGCTTCTGCTATTGATGTTGTTGTTGTTGCTGCTGCCATTGTGGCCTCTTAAATGTACAGTAGGGTGTTTTTGGTATTAAATAAACAGAAAATGGTAGTTTTAGTTTGATAGAGCAGAGAATTTGGAATCGATTTCATATATTTTTGTTCGGAATCAGTCCAAGATGCCACTACCCACAAGCAAAACAAATGTTCGTCGAATTTTGAGGTTATATCACTATTGTCTAAAACTAATCTGATATTTTCCACTTTTTTCGATTCAATCTCACTGCCAGAGATGAATTCTCAATGCAAACATTTATTTTCACGTAATTTTCATTGGAATAAGTGGCCAAATAGTCGAAACACCGACAAACTCATTTTTTCACAGAAATTCATTCAATGGATTTGAAATAGACGATAAATAATCTAAATCCACTAAAATATCCATTCGAAAAAAAACCAGGAAGGCCAAATTGCAGCAAAACCAAAACGTAAACAAAAACGAGCTGTCATCATGAAATCTGGGCTTCTTTGAAATTTTAAAGGGCTACCAATGCACTTGTGCGAATGGATCACAGTCAATTCGCACACAGTGATTCGCGCAGATGTATTTTGGTCTTGTCAAACATCAAACTAAGCCCGAATTTCATAATGACAGCTCGTTTTTGTTTACGTTTTGCTTTTGCTGCAATTTGGCCTTCCTGTTTTTTTTTTCGAATGGATATTTTAGTGGATTTAGATAATTTATCGTCTAGTTCAAATCCATTGAATGAATTTCTGTGAAAAAATGAGTTTGTCGGTGTTTTTTCTATGATTGAAGAACCGGTCAAAGAGGCAATACAATTCGTGTGAATTTTCGACTATTTGGCCACTTATTCCAATGAAAATTACGTGAAAATAAATGTTTGCATTGAGAATTCATCTCTGGCAGTGAGATTGAATCGAAAAAAATGGAAAAAATCAGATTAGTTTTAGCGAATAGTGATATAACCTCAAAATTCGACGAACATTTGTTTTGCTTGTGGGTAGTGGCATCTTGGACTGATTCCGGACAAAAATATATGAAATCGATTCCAAATTCTCTGCTCTATCAAACCAAAACTACCATTTTCTGTTTATTTAATACCAAAAACACCCTAATGTACAGAAATGAACTTCACCATAGTGGTAGCTGGTAGCGAGTTTTAATACGTATAATTATACACCTGTGTTGCACCATTCATTTTCTCAACAGATTAAAAGTTTGCAATTTTACCCATGGCTCGATCAAGTTGGTTGGTAGCAGTTTTTCTTTTTGAGTCAAAAAGCATTTCATATTAATTACACTTCACACTCTCTCCCGCTGTGTGTGTTCAACGTTATACACACACACACAAACACATACAAACACACACACATACACAACGAACATTCCATATCATACATATCAACAATTTGTATGTTACGAGAACCTTAAGCGAACTGTCAACATCTATTTTCGAACGACAACTTCGAAAACACACATCCATTCTGGGTTTTTTTCCGCTACTGTTTCGTTCACTCTCACCCTCTTTTGCTCACGAAACGCGAAGGCAGAAAAGTTTACTCGTCGATGGAACAACCATCCTATATGGCATTAATATGGAATATTTTTAATCAGAGATAATCATAGCGCCATTGAATATGGAATAGATATGATCCGACGAAGGAAAAACATAATTAATTTAATTGATTCAATTCTTTAATAATTTAATGCTAATACCTCGTTGCACTCCCTACTTCCCTACCCTACTTCCAGCAGCACCGAAGGAAATGTTTTGGTAAGTAACAACTTTTTGATTAATCGAATACTCGATTCCATTTCAAGTTCATTCAAAATGGTGGAGATTTTAATTTAGAAAAAAAATCCAAATTTTATTTTGAATCGCAAATCAAAAATTGTTCACTCTTTGAAAAGTTCGGCAGCGATTCACATTTCTGGGAAAATCAGTGAAGCAGTGAAGCTTGATTTAACACATTTAAAATTAAATTCATTAGAAATGTTTCCTGGTGTGATCGCATCTGAATTTCGTTTGTTTGCCTTGTAGATAAGGCATTGATTCAAACCATTTCTCAAGTTGATGTTGTGCAAGGAGTCTGTTGGTGGTAGAGAAGCAAATCGACCAGTGGCCACACGTTTTATCCATACGATAAAATCCATTTGGTGCTGTTTTGGACATTAACTTCATTTTCTGACGATAAAAAATGATTCGCTACTCTTCTCTCTCTCTCGCTCCATGCAAACGATAAGCATGAATAGATAACATGTCTATCGAAGAGAATACCAATATCAATTCAAGAAGCCACTTCATACTGAATCAATCGAATGAATTTTATGCCTCAAACTTTTGAAACTCAAGATATTGGTAATCCAATGTATTTAATTTTTCGTAAGCTTACTATTACCATGAACATACACACACTAATTCACAAGTATCGATCAAAAAGTTTGCTCTCGTGTACAGAATGCGTTGAGCAAATTGGAAAAATTGGTTCACCTGGTGCTGAATGGTGCTGTGTCTGTTACAAAGATAACGAACCCAGCATAACCGTTTGAATAAAAAAAAATGAAGCTGAACAAAAGAAATCACTTGCACTTTTCCATACAGCGATTATCACATCAGATACACGTTTCGAAGAGAAAATGACGTGACGAAAAAGAAAAGTCGCTTTTTCCTTGAATTTCTAATAGAAACTCAATGAACGCTAAAGAAATTGGGTATTAATATTTTTTTTCTCTCTATTCGATTCAAATTTTCACGCTACATTTCAACCCATTGACGTATGTCAATCCACACTTCCTTCTTCCTTTGATTCGGTAATCCGATTGAAATTCATTCTTTTTCTCCTGCACAAAAGGCTGCGGCAAAATTGATAATTCCGCGAAAATCAATAGAAGCATCAGCAGCAGCAGCAGAAGTAGCAGCAGACGTGGCATAGTTTCAACTCCCAACAACACGACCAAATCGAAAACTTACCCAAAATGGCGACGACCATATTGTTTTGCATCACTTCCATTGATCCGTTGAAAATATAGTAGATGTAGTTTAAGGCATCCCCTCGATGAATCAAGTACTCTCCAGGTGCACAAAAGTTCGCCTTTATGTGAAGCGAAAGTAGTTTCAAGCAGCCCTGCGAACGAAACAAAGAACCCACATATTAGACATATAATAAACGAAGCGTCGCTCTTTCTTGCTCAGAGAGAGATAGATAGAGTGATAGTCTCTTATTCCGACTATGTGTGCGTGCGTGCATGAACCGAATGGCTCAGATGGAATATTGAATTAAGAGAGAGAGAGAGAGTGTGTGTGTGCGTGTGTGTGGTTCAGTTTCAGTGCTTATGGCTAGTGGCTTTATGACATATACTTATTGTTGAGTCAACAAATTGAATGACCACACACAAAGTGGATATGAACCATTCCGTTGTAAAATTATCAAATTTCTCTACGCACACACACTTGAGTGATGAATTGCTAGCATACTTCTTCCGTCAGACGATGTTAGTCTGCGGTTTCGGTTATCGTCGCATTGCAAAATTATAGCATTGGCATTGTATGTATCATAACCATTCGAGCAGACGATGCAATTCATCATTCGGTGTGCGCACTCAAAAGTGCTGAAAATTGGATTCAAGCTCATTATTGACATTTCATCTAAACTTCACAGTCGAGCGCCAAAACATTTCTTTCTCTCTCTCTCTCTCTCTCTCTCTCTCTCTCTCTCTCTCTCTCTCGATGTGAACGCAAACAAATCGCAATTGAATTTAAGTGCATGGGTCATATTTTATTAATAGTTATTCCAAATGCATTCAACGTGTGCAACGACGAGGCACAATTTTGCACAATCTTACTCTGAATATTTCATTCGAAATGGAAACCGGATATTACGAATGGCATATTATTGAACGAGAGAATGCATCTCATCAATTTCATAGAAAGATTGTTTATTCTGCAACAACTTTGAAGTATATACATATAATCTGAATAATGCATCACATTTCATCGCCAACTTTGGACAGCAAAAAACAAAAATTCGCTAGACTTGAATTAAGTGCTTCGTAGTCAGTTAAATTGTTTTTTTTCCCCAAATTTTACTGGGTTACTTCTTATTCATCTCTTCTTGACCTGAATTATCCTACTTTTGCTGAAAATCCAGAGATTTACACCATGTCACTTGCACCATGCTCATTTAAAAAAATAGGTTTAAATCACTCATTTCCCTCATTCTGTGTTGAATTAATCATTGATTAGTCCATTTCTCGTTTTGATCAAGAAAAATCCGATTTTACAGGTAAATAAATGCAGTTTTTTGCCGAGCAAATGGTAATGTTGCACTGTCAACACTTACTTGTGATGCAGACTCAAATATTGGAAGTTGTAAAATTTCACGATGTAAGTGCATTGAAATATCGCCACGCAGCTCCTCCGGAAATTCTTTCAGGATCTATAAATGAAAGGGGAAAAAATCGTTCCATTAGAGAGGAAAATAAAAATGTCGATTCATTGAAAATATAAGAAAAATGATTGAATCTCTTTCAATTGAACGTCAATTTTTAAGATATTAAATTTCTAGCATCATTCGTTATTTTCTGCTTTTTCTTCTTCCGTCGTCTCAAGGACATTAAATTTCTCACAAGGTAGATGGTTCAAAAATAGAAATAAAAATCACCTTTGAATGTGTTCAAGAGAATTTCCAACATTTTAAGTGTTTCAAGATGATTTTTATTGGTTCAATTCAAAAGAAACGTACATTATTTTGATTCTACATATATAAAATATTGATGCGACTAATGGAGAGAAACGTTTTACATAAGCAAGAAAAAAATTGACGAAAAATACGATATAAAATATTTATGCGATTTAATTTTGTCTCGAAGGAGAGAGAAAAAATGGAAACAAAAATATGCAAACTTAATGGTTCAAACATTCCAGTTCCGGGGAATTCATTGAAAAATATCACCACGATTCATTATGGAATTCGTTTTGATTTATTTCGTCCCGATCCGAACGTGTACTTTTGCTCATGCATCGAATCTTTTTTCGCGTATTAAAGTTTTCCCTATCCGCACACACAGAAAAAAGCAAAATACAGAGGAAAGAGGGGGAGAGAAAGATAGAGAAGGAGAGAGAGAATTTATGCCCAATTGAGAATATGTGTGATATAAGAGGAAACAATGATATGCGACATTATTCTCTTCACACATGAAAAATGACGGTGAGAAATGGCATGAGCAAGGAGCAAACAAGTGCTGATGGCGCGCCATACTCCACGGATTCTCTTTCCGTACTCGGAATTTATGATCAAGTTACTTGTTACGATACTCGTACATTCTTCTCTCTATCTTTTCCCCTTGTTTTTTTCCCTTATTTCTTCTTATCATTTTTCTCTCTTCTCTTTTCTTTTCTGCTCTTCTCTTTTGGCCTCCTCAAAAAAGTTGCTTCAAATAGCATCGGAGAAAAAACAGTGAACGAAGCAAATTTAAACCTTTACCAAAAAAACAAGATATGAATGGCGTCTGTTAGCATATGTGTGAGCAAATGTATCTTCGAACAAACGGGTAGAAGAAAAAAAAAGAGCATACGGCGAATGAACAAAATCGCATTCCACATGAACACTTTTGGCTTTCACACGCCATGATTTATTTCGTTATTAGAACAGCAGTGACTACATTATTGACGATGCCAAAGATGATGGACGCCAGTATATTTCGAAAAAGTTTTCGTTTTTTTTTGGCAAACACATGAATCGTTCATGTTTCAAACACACAAAACACACATTTCGCACCATGAAATTGTCGATGTATTTGAGGTTTTACTCGTTTCTCCCACACCTCCGCCAAAGGATTCATGTGTCAAAAGTACCATAACTTTCATATACATTTCAGAATTTGATGTACGATTTTGGATACGAGATCATACGAAACCTGCGCTTGAACCATTAAAATTGGAATATTTTTCGGAGCAGGGCTTTTCCTTGCCCTGAAAATGTTGCAAAGCACATATCAGCTTGACAACATTTGTTCGAAAAGATTATATATATATATATATATATATATATATGAACGCGTGAGAATAAAAGCCTGACGCTAGCAGGTTTTTCGCAAAAGCGGGATAACAATCAGTTGCACGCAAAAGAGACATTTCAAAAGGTTACACGCAAACGGAACATTTTATTTTGTCGCATTTTGAATTTTAAAGCCGTGATTACAACAACAATATACTTCTCTCTTGCGTGCAACCTTTTGAAATGTCTCTTTTGCGTGCAACTGATTTTTATCCCGCTTTTGCGAAAAACCTGCTAGCGTCAGTCTTTTATTCTCAGGCGTTCATATGTATATAGACTATATGTATTCTGCAACACGTTGCATATTGGATGTAACAATGGGAACCATTTCGTAAAGCAGACTGAGAGAAAAATTGATGGCTTTTCTAGCATGTATCGGATTTAGTTGCTTCGATAAAATAGAAAAGACGTGCCACTATGGGACAATGGAATAAGTGAGAGGGAGAGAGGAGAACCCGATTTCGTTCAACCTACATTATGCAAATGTAAATACATTGCGATTCGGTAATGTCATAGCTAGATTTGCAAATACCGTGATTGCGACCGAATGTACGATAAAAAAATTTCAAGTTACGAAAACGTTCTTTTCTTTTTCGTTGGTATTTGAGAAGCAACGGATTTTGTGCGAAACCATTCAGTTTAGTTTCCTACGTAGATAAATCAGTTAAAGTCGTAGCAAACGAAATGAATGTGCAGATGACATGCCAAAACTTTTGCCGCATCGAAATTTCATTTACCCAATAGAATACACAAATAAATATACCAAGAAATAACTCATTCTAAGTGAGAAAAAAAAAAACAGAACTCAGAGCCATTCTCTTGAGAAATTTCACCCTTTTTTGGCTTACTTAAATTAAGATTTAGTTTTATCACTCTCAAGACATTCATATTTCTTTGACAAATTTTGTGAAACTACTTTTACGGCAAAACACATATTTTTCTATTGAGATACTCGGTGCCCACTCTATTCACTCAAATTAGTATGTGCTTTAGCTTGTGCCATCCAATTAAACTTATGCCAACTAGGCAAAAAGAAAAAGGCAAACAGAAACAGAAACAGAAACTGAAACAAAAAGACTACAAACAACACAGAAGTTTGATGGGAAAACGGAAATGATTTGAATGAAGATAGTTAAAATGAAAATGAAAATCGAATCCGTTCACAATATGTAACGAAAAATTTCGTTGAAAAATACCTCGACAAATGAAAATTTAAATTGGAAATTCTTTTCAAAGTGATCAAAATTGTGTCTAAAGAACGTGATTTATTTCAAAACAGTCAAAAAAAGTATATACTTTAAAAATCTCTTAGAAATCGAGTCAATAACGCTTACCTCATAAACATCGATGCCGTGATTCAGTGACCACATTGTTTGAAAGTAGTCTTGCATGCGTTGCTTGAGCTCGTTGGGCATTTGATGCAGCACAACGAAATCCTTCAAGTCACGCCATTTGCTATGGTATTGAGACCGTCGCGCATACATGCGTTGTATAATGGCCGTCACATTACCGAATACCACGGCATGCATTAGAGCTGTCAAAATGTGAAAAAAAGATTAGCAATTACGAAAAAAGACACATTATTATGATCCGTATATTTTGCGCGTTATCATTCGATAAATTTGTTTGCACAGAGTGTCAACAACTGGAACTATATTTACCTCCGATCAGCATCATCACGATGGTGAAAACTTTTTCGGTTTTGGTATTGGCCGAAACATTACCAAAACCCACCGACGTTAAACTAGTAAATGTGTAGTACAATGCTGTGACATATGCTTCGCTGTGCGTTATATTGCTAACGGGTATTTTCAATCGTTCTGCAAGCGTATGCATCCAGCCTGAAAACGAAACCAACCAAACAAATAAACAAAAAAATTATTACCTCAATGCTGCACTGATAACAAATGAAAATTAAATTCCGTTCTGTTTGTGATTAATTACAGATAGCCAAATAGTCGCTGTGTGTGTGTGTGTGTGTGCAAGGACGGACAGTGCACGTTTATGTGCAATATATGCAGAATAAATTTGCATGATAGCTCATCCTGATTAATGACGAATTAAATGCAATATTTCGTGATGCGTTTTTTGTATCTCAATTCCATTCGAATCGAGCCCAGAGACTTCCGAATGATATTCAATACTGGTTGCCCAGTTTTCATACACACACGCACAATGATGGAGAGAGAGGAAGAGATAGAGAGAGAGACAGCGGGCCAAAATGCAAAGAGACAGAGTTCAACAGATTGTGGGAAGGCTAGAGTGATGAGGATAGAACAAGTGAACATATTGCACGAAATTGATACGTCAGTCAGTCGGTCGGTCGGTCGGTCGATCGATCGACGGAGCGGATGAATTGATAAAAGTGTATGGTTTTCGTAATACAATACGTATTAATTGGTGGAAATAACAAAATTACACATCCATAAATATGAAAAGAGTTTCGTTCAATTTATATGCGGGCGAATGCTTTTTAATTTATAAATTAATGTATCCGCAAATTAATTTAATATTTTAACCAGTTCCATAATTTTTGCTTGCTCAAATTTTCGAAAACTCTACAGCTTGCTCTCTCTCTCTCCTCCTCTTATACCATTCCTCTCCAACATTTTCCGTGCACCTGCATAAACGTTTCGCGTGAATGCTTTGAACGTATACTTTCAAGCGCATGTGAAAAACAGAATAAGAGCTAAACGGGAAATCAAATGAAGGCCATCAAAGTTCAGGCAATGCTTCACCAAAATGTGCTACATTGAAAATGTAAAGCTCCTTTCATAAATAGATGCATTACAACCCCCCCCCCCCCCGAGTTTTTTATCTTTCGCTCTGAAGCACCGTACCACTTTCGACAAGCTATGAGAGAGACCGAGTGAAAAAGAGTGAAGGAGCATTAATGTTACCACGAATAGATTCCAAATTTGCATTAGTTATTCGGTGGAATTTTTAGTAAATATGTAAATTTAAGCGCGCTTTAGTTGGGATACACGCTTGAAAAAAATTCCAAAATCAACTGTCGTAACTGTGTGTTATTTATGTGTATATGTGAGGAGAGAATTTGAGGAATGGAACGTCATGAATATGGATAGAGATGAGGCGTTACTGTTATTCATTCCGTATTTCTTCATCTTCTTCCTTCTATTCTTCATCGGTATTTTTGATGGCATTAATTGTATGTGCCATTGCGAGCTATTTTTAGTAGATGAGGCTAATGTGCACCGATTTATTAGCACTTGTTCACAACACGCCACCGTCCAGCATATCCATTAATTATTGTATTGCATTTCGCTGGTCATCAAACACAGAAAATGTAATGTGATGTGATTTTGGTGCTGTTGGCCATTGGCCACCATTATCTCGTTTCGTAAATTCGCTGTTATGCTCGTTTTGCGCTTTTTTATTCGCGTGAATGTCGTTTCTAATTATCATACAATTTATTGATCGATATTAATAATTTTTATGGCATAATTGTGAATCTGTCTGATGAGTTTCGGATTTAGATTAAGTGAGTTTCATGTGTCTGTCTACCATTCTCTCTTGTTCTCTTTTTTTTCTCCTTCTTTTCCCCATCTGAGCTACAAGCTTTCAACCAATGAGCTTGGAAATTCCTTCGCTCTTATCGTCTACCATTTCCTTTGACTAATTGCCAGTGTTTAGTTGAGATAATATCTTAAGATGAGATAACCAGATAAAATAGATAAGATATTATCTTTTATCTTTTATCTTATCTAGATGAAAAATTCATTTTGCGGATTTATCTTATCTTTATCTTTTCTTCATATTTTTCCAATTATCTATTGACATATTTTAGATAAATTTTAAGATAGACGAAGGCTTAATAAGTAGAACGGGTGGGTTTTGAATGAAAAACATTTGAATTTTACGGAACATTCTGACATTTTTTTTACATTTTCGTTCAATTTTTGATTGATATTTTATTCTCAATCGTTTGTTCGACTCATCATTCATCAAAACAAACAGATTATTTCCTTTTCTTTTAATATTTATGTCTCCAATAATTCAAATTATTGAAAATTTTCAATTTCGGCTTTATGCTTCGAGTTTCATAGACCGTCTTCAATGAATTTGATGTGTGTATTCGAAACCACCATGACAATTGAATTTTTGGTGAAAAAAAACTGAATTTTGTAATACAAAAATTTTGTATACAAACCCGAGAAGTTATGAAATTATAAATTTGTTGTTTTGAAACTTATGACCTTAAAATCTATTTGATTCACTTTATTCTGCCTAGAATCGTTTCAAACTCTCCGGAGCGAAACGTGAATTGACAGCCAATTGTCGATTTATTCAATTTAATACAAATGTTCAGTGCAAAATTCTGTTATAAAAAAAAACTAATGTCATAGCCTTCAATAGGCTTTTATCTGACTAGAAGATCAGATAAAGATAAGATAATCTTATCTATTTCAACAAAAGATAGATGATTATCTCGACATTATCTAGATAAAATTGAATAAAAAAGATATTATCTCGAAATTACCTAGTTAAATTTCATTTATCTCAACCAAACACTGCTAATTGCATCAGTCTTGAGATTTGAAAGTGGAAAATTGAATTTTCTACAAAAAACACACCGTCAATTAGATTTTCCAATTACATGACATTTCTCATCCTCGGCTGAGAAATGTTTTGATGAATGTTTACTACTTGAATTTCATTCAATGGCACTTCATTCGCCTGATTCGATGGCACTTTTTGTGCGAATCATGATCGTTTGGCATGTTTCATACTTCAATTCACAAATGAACTAACCGCATTCGCCGCTTATGTTTTTAACCTTGACAAGTCAAGCAAATGAATTAATGATGAAATGCGGTGAAATCCAATGCAATATACATACGTTCTCGAATATGTTCTGATTCATTTGTTTGTAAGTGGTACTGCAATTGTAAATAGACCGAAACTCCATTCCACCGTCATGGGAATTGTTTTTATTATTCCAATTTTTGATGATCATGAGCTGCCTTTATCACGCATAAAATTATTATCGCTTACTTCGACTATTTCGCAAACAATCAAAATTCAACTGCTCCCATTATTTTTTTTTCTGCACGTAAAATGGCAGTGCAAACGAGAGGGAAAAACTTTTGGAAGGGAAATCGATTAAGAAAAAAAAACTCCAACGGTTGAAATGACTAATAAAAACTGAATCGAGATGTGGAGGTACTCACAAAATAAAATTGAATATGGTAAGCGAAAAAAGCGTGTGTCGTTGTAAAACGACGAATTTGATGCTTTTATGGTGCTTTCGCGTGCATACATGTGTTGTTTCATCCTGTGTATTTATTGATTGGATTTACTAGCGGATTCGTTTCGTGTGTTTATTGTGTTTATGCGGTGCGATTTTTTTAAATAATTTTCACCCACCACGAAAAAAAAAAATTCGTATGTGTGAATGTGAATTAATCCGATTTTCTAGTGCATGACTCTATGTAGATTAAATGGCTTTTTCACTTGGCTGCACTTTGCGATAAATGCAATCACACAAACTGCGCCACGAAACAAAAAAAAACTTTTTCGAAAAAATCGGATGAGAAAAACATCGGTAAAAAAACCGCTTAAATGTTTTTCGCATCCTTAAGCGAATAATTAATAACGTCATTTGAGCATATTACACATTTGCAAACACTGATCGCGACAATTTTTCTTTCACACATTCACACTCGTTGTCATCGCCGTTTTTTTTCCATCGATGAACTCAATAAACTTAATGGGGTCACACGACACGATACATGAGAGTAACTCACGGCTTTGGCAAATAACCCGGTATTAACGAATATTATGTGATAAATTTTGAACAACACGAAAACTTTATCAGTGTCTCCCGCTCTCCCATGCTACGTGTGTGTGTACGGCCAATCAGCCCATTGTTACAATTGCACCAGTATCTGCGTCACAATATCATGAACAAAAAGGAAACTTTACCAAATGCGAAATGAATATCTCTCATTCAAAATACAATTTAGAAAAGTTTTCCAAAATAATTTTACGTACAAAAGATTAAACAAATAGTTGTTGGTGGAGCGTATCGCTGAAGAACACAGAGACACGAAAATCCTTTCTGTATCGCGTGTCATGTTTTGAACATTTGCATTCACTTGGAATTTACCAGCGGTTTCAAATCTTATATCTACTTTGTACATCTCTCTCTCTCTCTCTCTCTCTCTGTCTGTCATACACACACCCACACTGCTCTATATCTCGGCTCATTTTCAATTTTTACAACGGGCAACAACAACAACGACATAATGAAAAATCGAGCGACAAATAAAGTTTATTCCAGTTAAGCTATTTTACATTCATTTTCATCCCGCACAAAGTTTTCACATTTTCAAATCTGATGAGGTCATTTCAACCGGTTTCGTTCGATCTCTATAGAAGCACATTCCATAGTTTACACCTTGAAAAACTAAACTATTCTACTGCGCTTTCAAACAACTTTTTCTGTGACGGCAGAAAATTTGCTGTAGATTGGCTTCAGATAGACTAGCTTGGAGGAGAATTGTTTTAGCTTGAAACACTGATTTAAAAACGACCGGACACAGAAAAGTATTAATGGTTTCTAAATGTTTATTGTTGTTATCACGTCACAACAATGTACTCATTTTGAAATAAAGAAAATGTATTGCTTTCTTCAATGCAAGAAAGAATTATGCGGTGGAACAGAAAATGGCTCTGAATTCGAGTGAAAAAAAATAAAATAGATATATAATTAAGAGAAAAATTAAAACGTTAAATGAATAAGTGATGATGATGAGTGACTGGAAAATGAAAAGTGTCGAATAATAATACAATGAAAGGTAAATAAAAAGAACAACAAAGTGAGATATTGGAAAACCAGTAGAGCGAGAGAATAAAAGATCAGGGGAAATGGAGAGAGAGAGAGAGAGAGGGAGAAAAGAATCGACTGAAAAATTATACAGAAAGAACAATAGAGAAATAGAACAAAAAAGTGAAAGAGTGAATGACTGGCTAATGTGAAAATAGATCGAAGAACACTAGGTGATGATTGAAGGATGTGTGAAAAAAAAAAATTAATCGAAGTATTGATGGAAATTTGTAAAAAGTGATGAATAGATAAATGAAGAGAGGAAATTTAAAACGATGATAGAAATATAGATAGATAGTTGATGGATGATGTTTGGAAAATGAAAAAGTGACGCAGCGACTAGCGTCCGAGCCGAGCGAAGTGAGAGACAATAAGAAGACAGATATGTCTCGCGTGTAAAACCAATTCCAGAAAGTGGAGCAACTTTCCCATGGAATCGTCTTTGGCTTTGAAAAACAAAGTATTGAACATACGAAATGGATACAGGGATGATTAGAGCTTTTTTATTATCATCATCGTGCAAAGTGAATTGAACAGAAAAAATAAAATATGTCACGACAAACGATGATGGTTACACGTTACAAGAGCTGATGGTTAGTAGGACGGATAATTGAATGGGCAAGCGGAATAATGAAACGTAATTCTGTTTTTAAATGAAGTGCCTCTGAGAAAAATTTTCAGTAAAAAAGCCCCACAAA